CGCGGGTGGGGTCGCTGCCGGCGCCTCTGCCGCCCCCCGGCGGCCGCTCCGCAGCGCGGCCGAGCAGGTGCCCCGCCGCCCCGGCCCCGCCGCCCCGGCCCGCCTCTGTGGGCAGGACGGCGCCGCGAGCAGCCTCCACTGGGCCTTCAGCCCTTGTTTTTTTTAAACTTACATTTGTGTATTTCTTTTTTACTTCCCTCCCCCCACATTTAGCTGGTTTCCTCCCAGGTGCACAATGAGGTAGAGTCGCCTTTGGCTCTTCTCACCACTGCCCGTTTATTAGCAATCTCTCCACRTGAAGAACACGGTTATCGCCACGCGCAATTCCCACTGCTCAGGCTACTGTCCGAGCATACAAATTAGGTTAAAAACACAGTTTTTACTTGATTTGCTCGCGCTGCCTAAGCCCTGCCTGCCACGGCGCAGGAGAGGCAGGTGACAGACATGCGAGTGAGCAGCAGGAACTTCCTCCCCACCGAGGTAGCTCACAGCACTTCATGGAGCAGATCAGTGCTCCTCAGGGTATGGAAACTGCGGGAAAACATTCCCCAAAAGTCCCCCAGCTGCTAACAGGAAATCTTGGAAGTTCACCCCGATTTGCAGGTCCTCTTGGGTCTTTGCAGACCTACAAAGACATCTCTCTACAAGGAATCGGCCCTTTTCCGATGGGCCTGTACACGGGATTGCTGCATGGGCACGGGAAGGCAGGGAGGCCGCAGAGGCCCAGCAGGAGCATTATTCCCATGCCCACAGGCTGCCCACACGCTGGACATCTCCTGGACATCGGTGCCAAGTGGCACGGTCCCAGTCTGGCTCTGTGTGTATCTATCTTGCCATCTATGGCTTGGCCCCAAAGTCCTGGGGACAGCCTGAAGGAGCAGCCCAAGCTGACAAGAAATCTCTTCTACCTCGCATCTTTGCAGGTAGCAACACCAGAGCTGAGGGCCCAGGATGGTTTTTCCATGGAGCTCGCTGTGAGGCTTTGCTTTAGAGCAAATGGGAAACCTGAAGTGGCTGAGCCAGGCCCATGGCACACAGTGCCCCATGCACTACAGGTGGGAAGCAGACAGCTGAGCCTAATTCAGAGTAGSTGCAGACTTGACACTTGTCCTCTATCGCCCCTCACACTTAATTCTAAGTCTTGGCTTCATCTCTGTGGGAAAGTTGTAATAAAGCTGAGCTACGGACTGAGTCTCATCTAATTATATAATAAAGATATCACACGGCATCCTAGAGTGTTTCGGACTTTGTAACAACTATGCAGAACACTGCTCTTCCTGTTCACCCCAATATTCAYGCTGCTGGGATGCAGTATCGGAAAGTCTCCAAGTAAAATTTCGGCTAAAGTAGAGGCCTGCAGTAAGGACAAGATGCAGCTGTCATTTAATGTGTGGATGTCCCATTTTCAATGGGAATTAGATTTGAAAGACATGTGACACACGTGCCTTGAGTTATGCAAGCATGTAAACACCTGAAGGATCAGGGCCAAAGCCAAACCTGCAATCAAGGTATGTCTGAAGAAAGTCTGCTCTCATTTGCACACACTTTAATGTTTCTAGCTATCAACATGAAAAGTTTGGATTTCACTTAACTGCCTTGTTCCCCAGATGCTGCTCACTTAGAGCACATCTGTTACTGGTGACAATAAAATCAAGCTGAACACATTCAGCTTCTAGTGCTGTTGCCCCTTSTTTAAGGCTATAATGTGATGGCCACTGCAAAGGAATGCTTGGAAACAGGTGGTGGATGCTTGGGCTTTTTCACCTGCAAAAAATAAGAATGTTTTCATAGTAGAATTTGTAACATATTAAAACAATGTTGCCTTAAATCAGTATTGCAATTATTAACTCAGTAGATCTAAACTTATGCAGCTCTTCAKTTAAGTCTTGCTAAAAAAGGTTGCAGGTTTTTTTTGAACCCACTAAATTGCTAAGATAACAAAGAGAATTGAGAAGTCCCTTTTAGTGTGGAGTAGAATGCATTCTGGCATGCTTATTTATTAAATACTTACTGGTAAAGGTATGTGTATAGATCTATGTATACCAATAATGGGAAGTGCATTTAGAGATCTACAGTCTGCTTCACAAAGTGAAATTAGTGATGGTGAGCCCTGATAGTTTTCACTCCTCACTTTATCTGTAGCTTATGTGAAAAAAAAAAAAAAAAATGTTTCTCTTGACTGTGCTGTCGTGTGAGATTTTTTTGAATCCCAGAAAACTGCAGCCCTTCAGACCTGTTTTCTCCCTGTTAAGGCCATATGTTATAGAAAAGGAGCAATAGCTGCTGCAGAAACACAGGCTGCAGCTTTGAAAACCATCAGCCTCAGAAGAATTACAACTCTGTGCTCCAAATTACCAGGGATACTTTGAAGAATGGGTCATTTTTTCAAATTACCAGAACATGCAGGAGAAAGAGAGACTGCAAAGCTGAAGAGGCAGGGAGATGGGCACCCTAGGTGACACAGACTCTGCTCTGAATATGGTTAGTCCCAATTAAAATGAAACAAACTCCCTCTCCCAGTTATCAAAAACTGTTCCAAAAAGATATTTGCCAACAACTCTGTGGCTCCAAGGCAGTTACCTTCCAAAACTAATTGGTCATCATCTTCCTCCTTTACAGTCTTCTTGCTGCCTTTTTTTTTTTTTTTTTTTTTTTTTGAGCCACTGTGAGGTTATCCCCCAAATGATTTGTTCCCCCTACTTTGAAAATACATGACTGCCTAGACTGCTGTGCAACTACTGCTGAGGGACAGTGTCTTGTAGCCCTGTCTTTGACCCATACAAGGAGCAGGCAGAAGGCCTGGTGGTGGCACCTTCAATCTCATCCCTCTAAAGGCACCACAAAATAAAGACCCTTACGTCAAGTGGAGGAATCCACTAGAACTAACTGGATCCAAGGAAGATTCACACACACACACACACACACACAACACAAAGCTTGCTTTGATTTTCAGTTCTCACTGCCTGGGCTGTTGATGTTTCTTCTCCCATTCCACTCTCGAAACAATGATCAGCAGTCCTGTCCCTCACAGGCTGACAACTAGACAGTTACAGGGAGCTGCATCTTCTGTGGGGAGGGCAAGAGGCAAGAAGAGCATCATGGGCTGCAGCCACAGATACAGCTGTGGAGATAAAGCTCCTTGGGGCAGTCAATGGGCTAGCTGAGCAGTGTGTCCTCTGCTAAAATGCCATGCTCAGGGCACACACTGATGCCAGGGGATCTCTCCCTGTCATTCTCAGGAAGGCAAATGTCTGAAAGAAAGGGGGGAATTAACATCTCCAACAAATTTCAGTGCAACACTTTTCCTTTCCTGCACAGTCATGTGGGAAGGGCTTGGCTTTCTGAGACGGTTGGGAAGCAAAGAGGGAAGGAAAAAGAAGAGGGATGTTCCTTTTAAAGTGYGGACAAACCTCAAGTACATGGCTATGGAAGGCTTGCTGCTGTCRTTCTGTGCTTCGCCCTCTCAGTACTGCTCGCATAAGGTGTGATTTCAGTAGTGCTCTAAGCAGCAACAAGTAGGAATTACCTGGTGTGTGAGACTAGTTCCCATTCCGTGGTTACAAACCCACAAGTTAAAATCAGGCAGGTTTTACTGCTTTTTAAGAACTGCAGGGCTAGTGGCCCTCTGTTTGCTCATGCCCCTGGGAGCATCTGAATTGACTTAAGTCTGAATTCCTAGCACCCCTTGCTTTTCTGCATGCCCAAACCCACAAGCAGCACTCATAGGTTCCTAACTGGGGCAAAACGTATCTGTGGTCTATCCATATTGCCATAAAACTTCTCAGGGTAAGTAGACAACTTCCTATCAAGGCTCTGCAGCACCCCCAGCTCACCCAGAGTGCTTGGCAGAGAAAAGCTGAACTCAGAGAACAGAGCCAGAGGGGTAGACTACACATACAGCATGGATTGCTGGACTAGGCTGTGCTTGGTTTCTGTATAAACCAAGACCTGCCTTGCTGCTCTCTGTGTTTTACAAGCGAAGGAGACATGATGCCCCATATAGTGTCACTGCTTTGCAAGCCATCAGTACGACTTCATGCATCACCTGCGGGTGAATTAGGTGTTTGCAAACCCCATGATACTTGGTGGCTATACTCAGTCTACTGCGGACAGGCTTTCCCCACATGAAGAGGAGCAGCCCAGATGTCCTTTCCTACCACGCCATCTGGGAGTGCAGTTGTGGGCTCAGCAAGTGCCGGCTGCCCCTACAGTGGTACCCGCCAGCCTCACACCACACCGAGCAATCCGCAGGATTAGGATAGAGAGTTCTCCGTGCATTACAGTCAAGATGTTGGGCCGATTTCACTAGGCTTAAACAAAAAGGGAGCGGGGCGGGGGGGGTGTTAATCCACCCTATCTATGCATTAACACTCTCCTCCACCCCCACCCTAATCCTCTCCCCTTAAGGTGCTCCACCTAAGAAGAAATCGAACAAGTTAAGCCCGTGTTGCCCCTCAGACACGGCCGCAGATGCCGGACTCCTCTGGCTCTGCTGCCACCTCCTGAGGGAAGGCGGCATGGCGGCCGGCGCCGCGGGGGACGGGCCTGCCCGGGCCCGCGGCCGCGCCACAGCCCGGGGAGGCAGGAGGAGGGCCCGAGAGCCACCAGCGGCAGCGAGGACCCCTGTTTTGTCCAAAAGGCTGGCTGTCCAAAACGGACAGGAGTGTGAAACTGTCCACAGCAACCGAGAGAGCTTGAGGGAGAAAGGCAAGTCCTGCTTTAACCCGAGATAACATCCTGAGGAGATGT